CTTTCAGCCTTTCTAATTACATGTATTGCTTTAGTACGATACATGAACTTGTCCCAACTTTTMACTAAATTGTAATATCAAACTAACATTAATTCATTATACTGCTTCTACATAGTCCGCTGGGATTAACCCCTCTCTTCCTTCAAACCTCCCCAAGCACCAACCCTGGTCGTCAACTTCTGACAACTTTGTTAAAATATCTCCAGCTTGAAACGTTAATTCGTCYTCTTCAACTTTTTCATAACCATAAAGWGCACGTACTGGTACACCAATATCCATGGGCAGCGGAGGAGGCTCAGAATCCCATTCGTCATCAGGAGGGTCTACGTCTAAGTTGTCGCCATGGGAAAATGGACTGAAAAATGAATGGAMAATCRATTAATGCTGAAATTCTCCAGTGATTATTATAGGCCTCATTAGCAAATACAGTATCCATCTTGAAAWAAATGAAATAATTATAGGAATGTCCAGGGATTTTGCAATTTGCAGACAGTAATTATCACTGATGGTTTGGTCCGAACACACATTGCGTCTTTGTTTATAAAGTTTGCTCATTAAACAGTCATAATGCTGAAATTTAAAATAACTGCAAAGTTAACAAGAACACTAGAGCGGATTTCGTATGAGTGTGAAAAGGACAGTACTGTACTGTGACCATAAGCGTACTGTAACCAAATTCTAGTGCCCCATTGGTTCACCAAAATTGTGCAGGCCAGGTGCAGTAACTGTGCGGTAACTGTGCAGCAATGGTGTCCCACTCATACGAAATCCGCTCTAAGAACACTACATGGATTGTTGTACTTACTGATCATATTGAGGGTCGCTGTTGTACAATGGCTTTGGTGTATTATACTGAGCTTCGGCGGTTGTGCTGTACTGTGGTACGGCATTGTTATCTTCCATATAAGCACCAGTATATGACGGAGGTGGCGACGGTGGTCTTCCATCATGGCTGGTTTCTCTATAACCAGTTAATGGCACTTGATTTGAGTTAGCAACATACTGCAACTTCTCTGGCTTCTGTGTAACCTGATTAGGGTCAAATTCCTGTAAAATAACAATAATTTCATACTTAAAGCTTAAATAGAGTACTAAAAGCACTAAAAGCATGAAAAACATTGCTAAATAGTACAAAACAGTGTTGGTTAGACAATGGAAAAAAAATGTCTTCACTCTATTAGACTAATTAGAGACTTGTAGTCTGTAATTCTAATGTTTTTTCTTTGTGTCTATTTGACTATTACACRTTAACTACTAGATTTCAGTGTAAATTCTATAACTAGACTACATATTTTGTGCATATATTTGTTAAACTATACCTGACTGCAACTAACCTGTTCAAGGTTCACTACTCTTTCATTAGTTTTACAACCAAATGTTTTGAACTCAGGTATAGAAGAATACGATAAATCAACTATATCTATTAAATAAATATAAATTATTAATAGTAATAATGATAATAATAATAATTAATTAAAAATAATAATGCATTCGAGAATCAATAATAACTGATTATAGTCTTGTCTTTATTAGAGTTAAGGGACCTCCTACTACCCAAAGACAGTAATCACTATCATCCAGACCTATAATAGAGCGGATTTCGTATGAGTGGGAAACGGACGGTACTGTACTGTGTCCGTAATCGTACTGTAACCAAATTCTAGTGCCCCATTGTTTCACCAACATTGTGCATGCCAGGTGCGGTAACTGTGCGGTAACCGTGCGGTAACGGTGTCCCACTCATACGAAATCTGCTCTAACCATTAACTTACACTACATTTAACATAAACGTACCTATCAATGGATCTCTACTCTCTTYTTCATCCTCACTACCTAAACTACTAGGCCTTTCTGCATGACTACAAGACATTGAAGTACTACTGGTCCTACGACCAAATGTTTTGAACTCTGAGATTCCACAGTGTGACACTTCAACAATATCTAATAAATAAATGCCAATAGACATGTATATCATGCATAAATACAAAGACAGCAATAAGAAAGTCAGCTTCAAAAGTAACAAGAGCCAATACCTATGAGAAATGTCTTGAATAAGTAGAATTGAGAACTTAATTGTTAGATTTTACAGTAAATGTATGGTGGTTGACACAATCTTGCCAACTACTGAATTATATAATACTATATAATACTATTTATAAAGTTTAGCTTTGTAGTTTAATGTAAAAGCCTGCTTCTCAAATTACAAGCAGCTGTTTTTTAGCTTATAATTTCTTGGTTTTGCTGTCTGACACAATTTTGCCAACCACTGAATGTTAACTATTATTAACCTCATAGTTCTATTCTATAATACTATTTATAAAGTTTAGCTTTGTAGTTTAATGTAAAAGCCTGCTTCTCAAATTATAAGCCGGTTTTTAGCATATAATTTCTTGGTTTTGATGTCATTTATATTTTAATTCTGATTGAGTTATTTGGCAATTAGGAGATTAACAAACTACATCATCACATGCCCTCATATATATGTATTATAAAATTTTCCAATATCTATCAAAAACAAAGTTCATATTTAACTTACCTAACACATCTTCACTAGATTCTTCTACATGATAACTGCCTACATTGTCCAGCCTGTTAACAAAGCTCTGAGATGGAGAGCTTACTAAACTGCTACCACTGTGTGATTTAAGTCCAGTATATGTTGAAACTAACTCAGAAGCAAAGTCTTTTGGCCTGTTTACTATAAGTAGGTTAAGCATTTGAGATGTTATGCTCTTTCGCTGTGATTTTTGACTGCTTTGGTCCTAATAAAAATATTTTCCCGAACAAAAAAGAAGAGCATGTTAACAGTCAATGTCCAGTAAAATCTCAGTTTGACTGGTCAAAACTTTGTGTGAGCAGAGTGGCATTTTAAGTCAGAATAATTAAAACTGGTCAAACTCTAAGTTTAACTTAAAACTAACTGGTCAAACAAGTTTTTAAACCTAACTGGTCAAACTAGTTCAACTTGAAACTAACTGGTCAAACTAGTTGAACTTGAAACTAACTGGTCAAACTAGTTGAACTTGAAGCTAGCCTGAAATTGTCACATTCACTGCAGACTAACCATTAGCCAGTCAATGTTTGGACATCTTACCTCAAATGCTGGCCAGTTATGAGGCATAGCAGTACCATGATTCCTGGACCACCAATCCAGATCTTGCTGACTATTAGCTAACTGGAATGTTGTACTCATTTGTATAAAGATATCTTTGAATCTATGATTAAAAGCAGTGATAAATATCAGAAAATATGTTTTAACATCAATGCTGGCAATATTACTTTATAAGAAAGTAATATTATTTTTAAACGTTTGGATGATAGGTTGGATAGCTAAGGCTTAGCTTATACAATGTAGCTCTTAATTAAGGTGGTTGTGATGTGGTTTATATGTTACCCACCCACTGTAACTTTTTAATAGTCTCTAGTAACTCAATAGTCAGAGCATTAGGCCCACATTGAATGTATGTTGGTAGTATTTTACATGAAATACAGCAATATACAGAAATTATGAAATTTTTTGCTCATATTTCATAATCAGAAATTATGGTATGTCATCACCAATATTTTTTTCAGAAAGCATCAGTGATAGGCAACTTCAAAAAAATATTGGAGAAGATATCCCATAATTTCTGATATACTATATATATTTATCATATAATTATCTATGAAATACTGTACCTATATTTCTCCATTACGTAAAATTGATATTTTCACTAGTGAAAATAACATAATAACACATTCGAGGTTTCTCTATATAGTGGAAGTAAGAAAAAAAGATATTTTCCGACATAATTTGCTTTCATATTTAATTATATGATAAACAGAATATTACATGGTCGCTTTGAGATACAAATTTTATCTTCTCGTGTTGAAAATCTCGCTACGCTCACTCGTGAGAGATCTTTTCAACACTAGAAGATAAAATCCGTATCTCCGCGCGCCCATGTCATATCCTCTATATATACTTGGAATATGAGTCAAAATGATCATAATTTCTGCATATTGCTGTATCTAATTGAGAGTCGATACATTTAAAATATGTAATTTGAGATCCATGTGTGATTTACTTTACAGAGAAATTATATACAGGACAAATCTGTTACTGAATAAAAAGGCTCAAGCTGCCTACATCCTGCATGCATATAAAACAACAAAAAAGTWAAACAAATCAAGTTACAATTGTATAATCTGATCATTCACTAAAATTCATACATTGTGGCATTTCMCTTTCAYGCTTGWAGGAAAMTGTCCAAAAGCCTTGACTTCAGTATAAAATAATATTTGACATCGTGTTGTTTTATTTATTTAAAACTTGATTTATGTTCAACAGCTGTACTGTYATTATCGAATAGTTTCTAAACTCGATATCAAAATACATGCTGTGGTCAAAAACACAAAAATTATTTGGATTTTTTTCATTAACTACTTATGTTATATTTATAGAATRTTATAAATTTAATTTAGATTGAATTGTATCATGTTTTGAAAGATACAAAAAACTGGTTTATAGGCAATTTAAATTTCTGAATAATACTCTTAAGAAAATWAATTTAATATTAGATTTAAAATTGATTTGCCATGAAAATGTAACTCCAAAACTTCTAAATACATCACATAATTATTGTGAGGAATTTAAAATTAAACCTTGATTTGATTATTGAATACATGTTAGATAGCATGTAAATAGCACACAAAAGCCATTAGTTTATACTGGGCAAAACAAAGAGGCACGCAATTGAAAAAGAGGACACAGAAGTGTATAAATAGATGTGATAATTTGAGAATAACAAAGGCGAAATTGAAAAGTTTATGAAAATAAAATTAAGGAAATTAAGCCCTCATCTTCAAAACTCTGGTTTAAATGCCACTGTTTTCTAATCGGCAATAAAAAAGTGCAAATATTATAACATTTGTATTAAATATAAGAGCTCTAGAAATGACATTTATAGTGAATTACATTGTTGTGGAGCTGAAATGCAATTTGACTGATTTCTTTGGAGAAAGTGAAATTCGATCGTATCTGAAACGATWTCAATTCAGCCTGATTTTATCAAAAATATTAGTCGAATAATTAAACCACAGAATAAGCAAAGTAAGTYGACTTTAAAGCTTTAATGTTACGCGATTAAATTAGGRAAAAAACTTACGGTATAACTTCAGAAATATCCAAACTTTGGTGGTACTTCATCAAAGCTTGTTTCATRAACTCTAGTCGCTTCTCTTCAAACTCTTGACACTTCTCGAATTGTCGAGCCATTCCTTCGGCGTATGTGTCGTTATGRTCRTGAGTGATTTCATCAATTCTTCGTTCATACTTTTGCTTTGYCTTTTCCATTTCTTCTCTCTTTTTTTCAGCGAGATCTTCGAGTTTTCTAAGTTTATCTGGAGGGAAATTTGAGTCYTTATTCGCATCGGTCACAGTTTTATCAGCTTGGTCTTTCGCTTTGGCTGCCGCATGATAAGCTTTYTTAGCTCTCATCACTTTCATTAGAAACTTAGCCCATGGTTTCTGAGCTTTRGAAAATCCYTCTTCAGCTTCTTTAGTTTCTTTCCATTGAAATAACGATTTATGATAGTTGTCAGTTTTCCATTTCTTGACTAGCTCATGAACTTCATTCATCAAATCGTCACGACATTTTGTATGAACGTTGGATCTTGAAYTAGCTTCATTTATAGCGCCTTTCATTGCTGCCTCCATTGAATTRTAYTCTGGTCCAAGTTTAATTGCTTCCTCCCACTTTTTGGCCCAGTTTTTCAGCTTTGAGGAGTACTTTGCTTCAATCTCTGCTCGTTCTGCAATGAGCTTCATGAACTCATCACACAACTTTGCTCCATCATCGATTCGTTTTACTGTCCTTCTATAATTRCCTACCTCCCAAAAACTATCAGAGGAGGCAGTTAAGTTCTCGTCTGAACCCTTCGGCGTCTCTCTAACGGACATTTTGAGCTCAAAAATGCAGAAAAATAGCGCAACTTTCACCACATTATCGACTATATACTCGAATCAGAGCTCTGCTTGAATGTACGATCTATGTTTGCACAGAAAGTGATTCCTATTGGGGGAGGGGGAGGRAATGTTTTTGTGCCATCACGCATGACAACAAATTTTGTTGATCTCTTTTGGTTGTGAGAATATTTCCTGTGGGAAATTGCTAAACTGTTTTAAATACCGATTGTCATTTCCTTCTAATGATACCAGGAACGTGTTATCGAAGGCTTTTTTTTTCAGAGTACAAAGTTTGATTTCGCGATAGTGTCACGCTTGCAGTGACTCATGGGAATGGAATTTAAGTTAATTATATGATTAATTGATTAATTATTTTTCTAGAACTTTCTTAAATTTTAGTATTTATTCTAAAAACTTTGACCTATAAAATTACAATTACACTCCTTTGGTTATTCATTAGAAAAAGTATGTGTGACAAAATGCACAAAAATAAATAAGTCCCTAGGGCTCCCCCGGTGCGGAATTTCCCGCGCAWTRCTGGTCCTCCCACCCATGCACCTTTGAACTTCAGCTAYATCTAGGTTTTTGTCTTGTACAAATATAACACACTTCAGAGGTCAGACAATTGCGTGACCACGTTTTTCTTTCAGGTCAGTTTTATTCTGGCTGTCATTTCTTTGTCATATTTTTGCCATTCTTTTTCCTTTCTTTCGTTTTTCTCTCTATCATTTTTTCGCCTTTCTTCTGGCTTCCTCTCTGTCTCGCTATTTTCCTCATCCTTTTTGATCGTTGTTCGGCGTTTTAATTTATTCAGTCATATTTTATTTTTTTATCTTTTTTTTTATTTTTGAATAAATCTCTTTCTATCTCTTGTATATTTTTTTAAATTCCACTTCCATTTATTTCCCATTTGCATTTTGGGTCGCTCATCTCTTCTTCCGATGCACAGCAGAGAGACGCGACTGAGTCTTTAGCCTGAGAAATGAGACCGCACTTCTTTTTTAAAATTTGATTTCCAGTTGAAAAAGGCCACTTTAATTTATGATCGACAATTCTTGCGTAAAATAGGTATATTTATTCAAATCAGTCCTGCATAAATATTAATATATTCACCATCATTAACCCTGAAATCGTACACTTTGATCTCTMTCCGCAGCTTTGACTATGGATGMGCGTGGCTGTATCAATTCTGTMTCTGCTGAAGACACCTTAGCGTTGCCGCAAAAACCACAGGTATAGGTTGCCCTTTTGTTTGTCAGTCTAAGCTTCTTTGAAATGTTTATTGTTTAAAGTAAGTCTGAGTGAAGAAGGTGTAAATCTTGATTGTTTGAATACACTGATGTGTTAGCATGCTGTTATAATGACAACTTCAAGTTAGTTTTTGACATCAAAAATTCACACTTAAGCAGCTGAAAACTAAAGGAAGGCATCCATCTACTTAAACTCTAGCATGCCAACTGCAAAGTATGCAATTTGTAGACTTCAGAGGTCAGATTCCTCGTTTAATCAAAGTTTCTTGCACTGYAAGCCACGTGGAAGCGTTGCATGCTTTGTGCCCGCAGGGAGGGGTCTCTGGGGAGGCTCACTCAAGCATGCAACCAGAAATGTCCCGTGGGGAGTGGCAACGAGGTGTGTAAACACAAAKATTATAGAAAATTTGAAAAATTCGACCTTTGTGGCCTCTAACACCTTGTTRTCTGTACCTCACTCAGCACGTTTCTAAGAGACTTGATGTAATCCTATTGTCTATAATTGAAGTATTATGATTAAAACAAACAGAATCTCGATTTGGACATAGCTACCATTAGTCACCCAATGCAACAGCTGAAAATGCAGTTTGAAACGTCCAAAAACGCTTTTTTCCTATGCTTTTACGTACAGATCAAATTACAAAAAGTGTATTGTGGCAAGGACGTTTTTTAACAACAAATACTCCGCTTAAGAAACTGTAGATAAGGCTAAACGCCTTAAAAAGCTTATAGTTAATGCATGTTAACTCTGTTGTTCAGTTATTTAATAGCTGATCTTCACTGACAATTAAATTATCTCTTAAAAGCCTGAACAAGTTCTTGAAGAATCTTTGAAAAATGCCAGCCCAAAGAAACCTTCCAAAGTGAAAAGAAAGTTGAACTTCTGTGATGGTTACGTAAAGAGGAAAAAGAAACGAATACCTCAACAAAAACAAGAAAAAAGTGAGACTTCTGAAGATAAAATACCATCTTCAACTTCAAAAGAACCATCAGATAATCTTGCTGTATTGGAAAAAGGTTTGAAAACTCCAGAAAAATGTGGTACAGACCAAAAAAAGGAGGTAATTTATTATTACTCAGAAATAACATTTGATTGTAGTGCTCGGTCCATCACAAGTTTCTTACATCCTCTTTTATCCACTTTTTATTTCTCATTTCATTCATTCAGGAAGAACCCCTAGTAACCTTCACCATAGGTGATCTAGTGTGGTCCAAACTGAAAGGATTTGATTGGTGGCCAGGAAGGGTGGTGTCCTACCTGGAAACTCGCCTATCCCCACCAAACCCTGGTCATCACTGGATCAGATGGTTTGGAGATGATAAGTTCTCTCAGGTAAATGAATTGTGGTAGTACTCTCTCAATTTAATTGGCTAGTATAATGAAGCACATCCTGCTTTTTGGAATGGGGGTGGGTTACACCCCAATTGACAAATGAAGACTATGTTCCCTAACTTTATATCTTCTTTATGAACATCTTTGTGGTGCTCTTTTTTTTTTTTTTTTTTTTTTTTTTTTGGGGGGGGGAGGCTTTCTTTCATCAATAAAACACAGGTAGTCCATCCATTAATTCCTCATTAATGTAGGAAGATGCCCAAGCGACTTGACATTATTTATCGGGAGGAGGTTGTTGGTACAAAAAAAAGTTTGATGTTCAACCCAWGCCCTATAAGAATGGATTCACAAAATGATAAAAAGATTGGAAATATACTATATAATACTATTTAAGTTACAGCAAATAGCGGATTAAAAGCACTGTCTTGCCAATTGCACATACTCTAATATGTATGATATGTTTAAAGTGTAGTATAGTGTAGTGTTATTAGTATATTTCAATTCAATTGATAAAAAATAATAATAAAAAGATTTCACATAATTATTGCTATGTTTTAATTTTGCTAGATGCTTCACATGTGTGTCCGTCCATTCCATGAGTTCGAAGTCAAGTTCAACCCTTCTAAAATGAGGGGTGTCTACAAGAAGGCTATTTACGAGGCTCTTGAGGTACTGATTATATATTTGATTCATCAATTGCATTTTTATTCTTGAATTCTTTCACTCATTTATTCATTCATTAATATATTCAGTTATTCATATGTTCATCCATCCATTCATAATTTCATCCATTCATTCATCCCAGTCATCCACTTACTTAATCGCATCAGTAACCAACCATGCCATTATGTACTACTTAGATGGCTGCAAAGCGCTCAAAGAGATCATTCACCAGAGCTGACATCAAACCCAAAGAGCCAAAGAAGAAGCAATCTAAGAAAAAGTCACAGAAACCAAAACCTTCCAAACCACTCCCCACTGAAAAGTCAAAAGACGGACCCCTGAGTGAGGAGGAATTCCGTGAGGCCATTATGAGCTGGGCCTTGGATGGCTTTCTCCCTGATGGACCTGCAGGATTTGCACCATCAGAAGGTTGGTCTTTGTAAAGTTTTCACAGAAATAAACTGATGATGATGATGACAATAATAGTGATGATGATGATGATAATGGTGATAATAATGATGATAATGGTGATAATGATGGTGATAATAATGATGATAATGATGATGATGATAATGATGATGATAATGGTGATAATAATGATGATAATGGTGATAATGATGGTGATAATGATGATGATGATAATGATGATATTGATGATTATAATGATGATAATAATGGTGATAATGATGATAATGGTGATAATAATGGTGATAATAATGATGATAATGATGATAATGATGGTGATAATGATGATGATGATACT